ATAATAAAATAATATTAAAAGTTTAGGAGAAATTACGAAAATGCCATTGGGACTTTCCTATAAATAGGGAAGCTGAAAATCATAATTTTCATCCCAAATCTTCTTCTCTTCTCTCTTCCTCTCTTATACACCTTGAGATCTGTTCTCGGTAGTAGTAGTCTCCTAAGTCAAAGGAGTAAGTTATAGAGAGAGAAGTGTTGTAATTTCCTCCCTTTCAGTAAATAATATTTTTACTGTGGTTATTTTCTCCCTTGTCTCTTTTTACTCATCTCTTGTTTTAGCTGTGAGTAACTATTAAGCCTACTCTGGACCTAACAATATCTGCTACAATTACATATTTTCTTTACTTTTTTTTTCATGTATATATTTTCACAAACCTCCCAATCTTTTGATTTAAAAATTTGGATATTCTCATCAAAATCAGAGGATTATGATCTATCTGTTTCTGCTTAAACTCAACAATTATCTGTTTTTTATTTTTATTTTTAAAATTGGGATAGAAAACTGATCGAATCAAGGGTTCATACTCATTTGGGCCTTTGGGCTTTTTTTCTTTGATATATTGCAGCGATGTTCCAAACTCTCATCTTTGATATTTTTTCTAAATCTCTATTGATAATGTACGGAGTTTTTCTATATTCCAATTCATGGAGAAGTTTTGTTTTATTTGAAGTACGGATCCACCGTAATGATAAGAAAAAAATACAGTGCACCATATTTGTTCAGTGTTAACATTTATTTTTAAAGAAATAATCTTTTTATTTTAAAAATTTATAAAATTAAACATTGATTTTTTTTTGAAAGAAATTGAATGATTCGCGAATCGCGATCTGACGGGGATGTTTGTAAGTTTTTTTGTTTTTTTTTTGGGTAATTAGATGTTTGTAAGAGTTTGTTCTAATAGAATAAAAATGTTTCTTTTTAGGAAAATGAAAAAGTTACATCACTCCCGCATTTCAACACACTATGATTAGAATTGACTAGTCACATGTACAAATTTTGTGGCGTGTAACATTCTGAGGAAGAAATAATGGTACAGTACCCGGAACATTACAGCTGCATAATGTTTTAATTTGAGCATTCTTTGTTTTGCATGCGAGTTTAACAGATACAATTAAGGTTTTTAAGTGGGTTCGTATACATTACGAATTTTTACCTTTTTTCAAGTAAAATCACCAATTCTTTCAACCCAAGACCTCCAATTATTTTTTTTTACTAAATATCTTTCACAAATACGTTTACATCCTTTTATTTTATTAAGAAAAAATAATGGTGGATAGCATATTTATATGTTGTACGAACCGGGTAAGGCAATAAAGGCATCAGAACGCTTAGCCATCTCTGCTTTCCTTTGATGCATGTCTGCTACTGCCTTCACTTCCCCCACTGTTTCTCCAGTCAGCTGCAATGCAATGCAATGCAAATCATCACTCAAAAAACTCACAGTAAAGTAGCAACACAACAACTTTTGCTACACTACAATGCATGCCACGCAATATCACCAACAAACGGAGCAATGCAATCATGAGTGTTGCAGTCCTGCGCCACCACCACAAGTGGAAATCATATATATCACCACCCTTTTCTCCTCGGGGGAACAAAACAAACAAATAACGCCACAACATTAGTTACTTCCTAATTAAAATCAAAGGCAAAAATGCATGCCTCAAGAGAAGGACAAAATGCCTCACAACGGAACACCCCAGATTGCCAGGTGTATTCAATATTCATGGATAATATAAATAATTCATAAATCACCAAAAAAAGGACAAGTGTGAACCAGGCCTCAGATATTGGGATAACAAAAGTATGGTGCAAATTCACTTCAATTATCATCCATGCCAAACAATTCCAACAACCAGCATATATATTGCGGAAAAAGATCTAGATAATTCTCTTTGTCCCCCTGCATATGTGTTCCGTCATTTTCTCTTTCATTTCCAATTATATGCTTCCAAAACACATTAACATTACCTCTCTTGGCATGAGTGTCTTCGGAATAATTCTGCACACACACAAAAAAAGAAACAACACCACAAAAAAATTAGTCGAGTTCAACAAAATATATAAATATCACCACATGAAGAACCTGCTTACCCAATCACATGGCGACCACCCTCGTAAACAGCCTGAGAAATCAACCCCATCAAACCAATGCTGCCCCCTCCATACACCAGATCAATATTTCTTGACACCTTTTCAATTTCAAAAAATATCAGTCTATGTCAATAACTATGAACCTAAGAAAGGTATATAGACAGAAGCACCCCAAATTCATTAAAAAACAGAGAAGTTGAGAAGTGGATTGCGAATCCCAGTATAGTAGTGAAAAGGTGTAAACTTAGAAAATAGAAAGATGAAAAGATACATTAGGAAACAAAAGTAAGACAAATTAAACAAATAGAAAGAGAATTTGACGTAATTCAAAGTCATGAATTAAAAAAAAATCTTAAAGCAGCACATGAGAAATCCAATTCATGGGAAGAAAAGTTGGATGGCATTAGAAAACAAGAGCATCTGAGTGAAGTTTGTTAATTACTTTTTCTGACTATAGAATTGCTCCAAAAGGAAGCAGAAGAAAGAGGAGAGTGAGAGGGGCATTACCAATTCCCTTCCAAGGTCAATAGCAGCATCCTTATAGCTAGTTTTGTTCCCTGGACTACTGCCACAGAACACACAAATCCTCTTGAACTTGGATTGCTTCATCTCTGTTTCTTTCTCCATTTTTCTCTCTCACACACTCAGGTTCTATGTATGTTCCACACCGGACAAAATGGATGAGCGGTTGATGGTGTAAACGCGCTATATATAACGGCAACACACACGTCCTCACCCCATCACCGATGATGACGCTGACTCGCACAACTTGTACGTAGAGACACTGAGCGAGACTTGATCCAATGATGTCTGTCTTTCTACTTTACCATGGTCCCCTCTACACCACCAATCAAATTATATATATATATATAAAAAAAAAAAAAGTTAAAAAAAAATCCGTGGTCCTATCCTATGTGAAGATCATTCATTGTGTTGTGCTTGTGCCTTTTATTAAAGAACATAGGAATGGATGCCCTATTACCTTGTGATGCAAATTTCAATGACTAATGACACCGTTAAGGATATCCTAGAATTTTCAAGTGTCAGTTTCAAGTGAAGCACACATAATTATTTGAGGCCCTTCATTTGAGGCATTGCCGGTTTGTCTAGTACTTTGAGATGTAACTTGTGTGTGATGCTACACTACACACATGAAGTTGACCAAATATTGTGTAATATTCAACTTTGGCATAAATAAATGTAGTCGATTCTTTTAATTGTTGACACGGAGTTTGGAATGCACTGTTTGTGATGAGCTTAAGTTTCTGGCTCCACCGTTGTTGCTTCTTCACATTGTCAATTCTGTTGTGAGTTGTGACATAGGTATCTATCTAGCTTCATCTGAGTTGACTTGTAATCTAGGACTTTATCACATTCCAATCCTTTTGCTGTCCAACTAATCGTGTCCACCCACCAACTCCTATAATCTATCCCTCTCACACTGCTGTTCCTTCTATTTCTGTTACAACTTAAAACTATGTAATTAACGCATCCAAAGTCTTTCATACAGTGCTGCCATTTCATATGTACATCATGAAATGGCATAGATTATAATGTGTAAGACATTAAAGTTCGACAAGGTTTCATTTGCTTATGGTGTGGTGGCCCATCACCTGCATTGTAATGCATGTATGTACCCTTGGCCGGTTTCATTCACTGGAAAAACTTGATGCATGGCTAGGATTAGGAAACATTGATTCATTGCTTTTTATCCATCACATTTATTATGTTAATTAGACAGAGTAGAAGCCACTTACCTCCATTTCATTTTCTATCGTTAAATAGCCCAATCTTGCTGTCCCTATATTTTTCATCCTCTCCACGTCTTTTCATTGCCTTGCTACCTGTAATTAATTATTAATATATACGGAGTGTTCTTTTTCTTTCTTTCTTTTTTCTTTTTTCTTAAACAACAAGCACTACAATTTTTTTTTTTTATATGCATGTCATAAGTATAAGGTACTGAGAAAATAGGTTATGCGGAAATGTGTACAATAAATTTATGCTATTTTATGCTGTTTAATAATGTGGTAGCTTTATTAATTTTTATAATTTTCATAATATTAATGATTTATGATTGGTTGATAGTATTTATGATTGGTTCATAGTATGACAGTGGATGACTATTAAATTTAAGGTTTAAATATAATTTTTTTCATTGTAATTTATCTTTTTTCACTTTTAATCTCTATAACTTTTTTTGTTATTTTATTTTTAATTTTTGATATTATTTCAAAAATAATTCTTATTGTCAACTATTGTTATAAAAATCTTGTGTAACAAACGAAATGTATATTATATTTATTATATTCTATTTCATTATTGTCATTAAATTAATTTAAAAAATTTAGAAAAGTTTTAAAATGCACTTTATAGTAGTTAAATATGTACCTTCACCCTTGTGATTGCGCTTCCCCTCTTTGATCCAAATCTAACATTGCAAACTTAAATCTTCTAATTCAAACTCCAATCCTTCGATAATGAGCATCTGTTGTGCACCACATTGGTGAGATATTGTGTGCTTTGGGCTCAAACCCTCACAATTTTACTTTTGAACACCACAAGTGTGTGTATATAAACTCATGTCCATCCTCTTGTTTGAACGATGTGGGACTATGTTTACATCCCAACAATCCTCCCCTCAAACAAAGAACCACGGTTTACCTCCTCCCTTGCAGCGAAAACTACGAGTATTATCCGATGGTGGCCCACAGAGCTCACTCACGCTCTGAGTGTTTGCACCGCCGCTCCATCATGACCTCCAGCGGGACACGCCTCCTAACCACGGTTTACCCCCTCCCCTGCAGCGAAAACTATGAGTATTATCTGATGGTGGCCCATAAAGCTCACTCACACTCTGAGTGTTTGCCGCTCCATCATGACCTCTTTCATGACAGCGGGACACGCCTCCTAACCCTCCACCTACTAGCCATCATACTCGTCGAGCCGATCACCTGATCAGACTATCGGCTCTGATACCACTCGTTGTGCATCAAGGGGGTTACCACATATATACACATGTCTCTACATTGGTGATATATTGTCCACTTTGGGCTCAAGCCTTCAAGGTTTTGCTTTTGGACACCACCCAAAAAGCCTCTCAACCAATGAAGATAAATGTGTGTATATAAACTTATGTTCATCCTCTTGTTTAAATGATATGGGACTATGTTTGCATCCCAACAAAAACTACTCACAATCCATGATTTTGACAATAATGTTGAGTTTTTCCTCAATGACACTCCTTTTGCAAGGTTGTCATTGATCATCACCTCATCATGGAAGAGTTCGACCTCACGCTACGCTAACCCCCATTGTATAAGAGCTCATATGCCATAAGAGTGTCTACCACTCTGTTGGCACCACTACCAATGTCATCTCCTTCAAGGCAAAGAAATATTGTGTCGATTGACTCAAGATTGTCACCCCATATTGTCATAACAGTGATGAGTGGGACACCTCATCAAAGAAGGGAGGCTAGTGGTGTTCAACTCTGCCACCAATGACAATTAGGATGTGACATTCCACAGTCTGAAAATAATGTGTGTAAAGAGTATGCTAAAGTGGTAATAAGAAGTGCGTTTTGAAACTGTCTAAAAAAAATTAAAATCAATTTATCTATGTGACAATGATGAAGTAAAACATAAGGAATATAACATGCATTCTGTTTGTCACATAAGATTTTTTTTAATAAAAGTTGATGATAATAACTATTTTTAAAACGTTATAAATTTTAGAGATAAAAATTATATTTAAGCCTAAACTTAATATATTTATCATCATATTTTTTAATGATTAAAAGTTTAGTTAATCACCTACGATAGTCTTTTTCCATAAATACGAATTTTCATTCATACTACTCAAATTCAAGTTATTCCTTAAAAATCTGAACTAAATTTTATTTAAACCAACAAGTAGTAAAATAATCTAATTTAAAGCAAAAATAATTTTAAACATATAACATTATATCTATATATATATATATATATATATATATATATATTACTAAATTAAGTCCCAAATTATGAACATTCTCACTTTTCTATTAATTATTCTTCCCCCACTAAATTAAGGGGGGTGTATTGGATTAGGATTTTAAAGGACTTTTTTAGTTAAAAAAAATCCTGCGAATTTTAAAAGACTTTGCAGGATTTCCATGACTTTTAAGATTTTGTAGGATTCTACAAGACTTAAAATCAGGATTTTAATGGATTCTGCAAGACTTTTAAATCAGGATTTTTATGGATTTTGTGGGATTTTGTAGAATTTTCGTGGATTTTTGACATTTAATAAGATTTCAAAAATAATTTCATACATTCAAATTTAAAAAGAGTCAAAGACAAAAATAATAAAAAAATAATATCTAGATAAATAATAATAATAATAATTCTTCATAATATCTTATACTCTTAAATAGCATTCACCCACATATTCATAGTTATACTAGTCCTCCAAACATTAGCGTCTTTTCGCTCTTGCTCCTGGGTTTGAATAATAAGTTTAAAAGTATGATCTTCATTAACTAGTAACGTTGAAGATGAAGGTTCATCCACCACTTCAATTGGAAATTCATCAGAATGACATTCTTTACGTAAAAAGTTATGTAGTGTTGCACATACTAACACAAGTTCTACTTGTGTCTTAAATAAAAATGGAGGTGCTGACTTAAAAATTGTGAACCTTGATTTAAAAATACCAAATATTTTATCGATCACATTTCTTAAAGACGCATGACGAAGATTGAACAATTCTTTCTCATTTTCAGGATCATTACCCTGACCTACAAAATTTTGTAGATGATATCTTATACCTCGAAATGGAGCTGAAAATTGGCGTCGATTAGGAAATCTACAATCCACCAAAAAAATATTTACCTAATTACATATGAAATATATATAATATTAGTATAATAATAATAATTATTATATATAATTATAATTATTATTTAAAGAATAAGCATTTAGATATATAGAATATATATATATATATAT